TTTGTGTAATTTATAGACAATAAAATAATGAAATATCTTAGTATTATAAACCATTTCATTGCACTAATATACTATTGTTGATAGGTTAACGAAATAGAGTTCATTTACTATTAAAATATAGTGAACAAAGTATAGATGAATGAGTAAATCTTGTAAAAAGCTACCAGAGTACTCGGAAGGTACGTGGGGAGTGCTCATAGAAAACTCAGTTTTACGAGACGAGTACTCTAACCCCATGAGTACTCATGGGCACTTGTGACATTTTCTAGCGTGAGTACGTTTTGAGTACTACCCTATGAGTACCTTCACTAGGGACCTCGATCTTTTTCTTCACAATGAGATCAAACAAATAACCATCAGCGTAGAATAATCAGTAATATCCGACGAAAATCCACGCTCAGGCAGACAAGAGAAACAAATCATGTCACATCTCGGGAAAGCGACAATTGATCGAACGACAATTAGTCGAACGACAATTAGATGTAGTCAATTGGTCGCTACGATAATTAGTCGCATAAGAAATTGGTCGCATGAGAAATTTCAATCATATTGAAATTTATTGAATAAGAAAAAGTACATAAATGAACATACAAAAGATTAATTGAATTACAAATTCAAAGCTACTCCTTCTATTTGTCTAAGCAGTGTTGGATGTGGAGAAATTAATAAATTCTTCAGAAGTTTACTGTAATCTAAATATATTTTTTTGTTTGAAGAGTTGATTGTCCAGCATTTACTTTAACAAGTTGACAACGAATATAATTTTCTTCTTTTTGAAGACTTTGGATAAAGATCTAAAGAGACGGATGTTTACATTGAATAACGGAGTTGAGTCGTCGGTGCCAGGCCTCAGCCTGGTTATTAATTCGCATTGAGTTGTTGATGGTTCTTTGATTCATATTCCATAAATTGACAGGCTATCTTGGTGTTGCACGTCCATTTGGTCGTCTTCTCTGTATGTAAGTGTCTTCGAAATAATCTAGAACTGGTTCCAAAATAGATGATAAAGACCCATATTAATCGTCGAATCCTTGATTAACATCACCAGGTTGAAGAAATGCTAATGCAGCGATTTTATTTACATCATAAGCAAATTTTGAATCATTTTCGTAATTGGTTTTCAATCCAAGATCCTATGAACGAGAGTTAAAATCAGATCGCCTATAAAAAAAAGACTATCGAGGCTGACTTGAAGTTTTCTTTGGATGCTCTTCTGTAGATGGAAGAAGGAACCTGATATCGACAATGTGTTAGAAGTTCCTTGGAAAGCATTAATTGCTCCCTTTTCAAAATCGACCATAACTGATTTGGGATTCCACGAAGGACATAAACGACGTAATTCATTTATTAACCTCTGATAGGTCTGTTGTTGTTTATCTGACAGTAACGCAAACACCAATGGAAATACACAATTTCGATAAACACCATGCATCGTATATAATTGAGTGAATATTACTGGTGTTATCTGAAATAACGATGGAGAATATAATCAATGCATACTTATCGATTCAAGATTGAAATAGTTAACATACTTTGAATGTTCCGTCGATGAGTATTTCTTCAGTTTCTTCAAGAATTTTCAATTGTTCAGGAGATGAGAATATAATTAGACGATGATCACCAGGTCCAGAATGAAACTGCAAAAATGCGTCGTTTCTAATTGTCATTGTTAGAGATGTTGGTACCATTGTAAAATTTTTATCGTGTGGAATTTGCGGTAAATCATTTTTTTGACGTTGTCGTTGAATATTTCTTTTAATATATTTAAAATTCGGAAGACGAGCTACCATCTGGTCAGATACATTATTTAAACAATTGTCCATAATATGTTGTGTAGTTTCAGTGGTAGTCACCGCTCGAGAACGTAATTTGTCTTGGAATAATCAGACCTCATTATTAACTGCACTTGCAGGATGATTATGATCATTATTTTCAAGTAAAATAGTAGTATGATTGTGATCTGTATGAATTCTTCCTTTGCATTTAATTGTTCGGCAATATTCACATTTCCAATAAGTTTTTTTTATCCGTATTACGATCGATTGTATAGTTGAATCCATTCAACATAAGTAATGGTTTGTTTTTTCAGTTATAGCTAGGGATGGCACTTTCACTTTACTTCAACCGTAAAGTTTAAAGTTTAAAGTTGCTTAAAGTCGCCTTTAAACGCTTCTTTTGTGGAACTCACATATATTTTCGAAGAAAATGGTGAGTGTAAGTTTAAAGCCGAGATTTTTGCGGCTCCCCACCCCCCCTCCCCATTACAGACATCAATGAGTTT